CCAGCTCCCCAAGTGCCAGGAGACTATGACTATATAAGGGGGGCGGGGAGGGAGGGGGTACAGGATGTGAAGTGGGGAGTGGGCAGGAGGCAGGGGTGCAGGATGTACAGTGGGGAGCTGCACACTTCCAGGTCTGAGGTTGGCTGGGCAGTCCAGGCATCATGGGGATTGGGGTTTGACACTCTCAGCAGGGAGTGTCTCCCCAGGGTCAAGATCAGGCAACAGTCAGCAGATACTTGATTCTTTCAACCTCCTGGCAACACAGAGGATTCTGTCACAGGTGTAATACAATCAGTTTACCAAGTTCCAGCAATTGCAGTGGGATAGGAGCGCACTAGTTGCAAGTTGAAGATTTATCACAAGGAGGGTGTGGGGGAGAGAATGAAAGTTGGTTTGAGTTTGATGCTTTCAGTCCTATTATTTAGTCTAAGGTAGGTTTTGTTACCAAATGGAGGTGATCCAGGTACAGCCTGACCTCATCACATGGCACTAAAGTCCCACAATCTTATCAGCACAGCCATGCCCAGGAGGGCCGGGAGTCACAGGGAGTTGGTCTCAGAAGCCATTTGCTTAGTGGCAATGGCTCCTAATGGATGAAGTGAGAATTTCACACAGGAATTTAAAAATCACTGGCGATGGGATGGAGCCCAGATCACCCATCCAATACGCTGTCGCCATGGAGGGGACTGGTGATTGTGCTGAGGCCCTGAGGGGCCAGAGCGGGGCTGCATTTGAGTAAGTCCCAGTGGCTGCTGTGATGCCAGACACTAGGCACTGAGGGGACCTGAGGAGGACAGAGGAAAATCTACTCCCCCTCACTCTTCCCAAACACTCCTTCCCCTGCGCTGAGTGACTCCCAATGTGCTCTGATGGTCTGGGCCATGGACAGGAGGACCCTGTGCCATCAGCTGAGCTGGTGAGAAATCGCCAGCGCCCAGCATCCAGGGGAGGGGCAGGGAGGCAGAGAGAAGAGTGACTCTGAGGAAAGAGAGATGGTGCAGTTTCTGCTGGGAGGGGAGACCCCATCCCAGTGTGCACCCTGGGAAATCCCAGCTCTTGTTTCTTGCAGTGCAGGCCCAGTGGGTGTGAGTGTCCCAGTTACCATGGGAACTCCTGCAGAGGCACCCCGGAGTTCTAAAATAGTCAAACAGAGATACAGGTCTGAGGAGCTCAGGACTCGGGTAGTCCCCCACTTTACTTACATAATTTCCTTTTCAATTGCCTTTTTTAACTCCATGCATGTGTATATGAGTCCACAGGAGTGTATAGCATTATACATACACATTCACTCACAGCACACATGGACATGCACACCTAATATCCCAAACACCATTGTCGTGTTACATCTCCACTTGCCACTCAGAACCCAGATCAATGATTTCCAGTAACATGTGTCCAATCGGTTGAGCACAAGTTATGACCAGGAGGGACTCCAGGTCCCCATGTATCCAGAACTGTCTTTCCTGCATTACACTGCATTACCCCTCACTGTGGGACAGAAGTTTTCCTCTGCCCTACCAGAAGACTGACCTGTAACATCTTAGGCCATTTCTTCTAGGAAGAAGCATCCTGGAGCCCAACTTCAAGTAGCAATCGAGGGGTGGCTGAACTTGCAATCTGACAAGGGAGGCCTCCCTGAGCAGTGGCATTGGAACAATGATTTAAACTGAAGCCAAGTAGAGAACCATGTATGTAGCTGCTTGGAGGAAAGGATTCCTGGTCGAGGAATCAGCAAGTACAACGACTGTAAAGAATGAAATTTTTAGTATAAGAACAGGGTTTTGGCATCAGAAACTGAGGACAAATTGGTACAAACTCCTACTGGCCATATGTTTGATGTTTTAAACTGAAGTAGGATTAGCAGCTATTGGAAAGAGTTATGAACTAAAATTTTGCACCTTTTGACATGTCTGTTGCGTTGACAATAGACTAAGTAATGCAGTAGGAACATACTAGAGAGTCCAGTGAGGAGGAGATTCAATAATCCAGGTAAGAGCTGGCGGTGGATGGGGCCAGGGTGTTAGCACAGCTGGTGATGAGAAATGATCAGATCCTGGTCTCTGTGGAGGGCACAGTCAGCATCTACAAAGGGTGTCGTCACAAGACGGCCCCATGGATATGCCGGCTCCGAAACTCAGACTGAATCAGGAAGTGCTGTGTGAACCTTGAACTCAAGCCACTCAGATAACTGCCACTTGAAGTGAACCAGGTTCAAATAATGACTAGAAGGGCCCGCACCAACTCACCCTCATTTTCTGATGAATTCTTCACTCATTTCACTTGTTCTAACTCCAGGAATTTCATTCTTTAGAGTCTCTGCATCTGCTAATTCCTCCTTCAGGCACCTTTTCTTCCAAACAGTGACATAATTACTCCCCACCCAGTTTCACTTTGAGCCTTTGTTCAAGTATCACATCTGAAGGAGAATGAACACTCGAATTGCAAAAGCACCTCACCCTCTGCAAATGAATTGCCAATGAAATAGCACCTGTCCTTGAGAGAAGAGCTGTCCTCTGCTCTTGGGACACCCACACCCACCACCCACACTCAGTCACCTTCAGAGCTGGCCAGACTGGAATGTTGGCACGGGGAGACAGGAGAGAGGGTGGAAGGGTGCCTAACGGGGAGGGGGCCTCAGCACTAGAAAAAGCATGTCCCTAAATCCAACAGCCTTTGTTTCTTCCAAAGCCACCTGTAGGGTAAGGTAAAAGGTATCAGGCTTTTCTGCCCTCCCGCCATCAGGATAGATGATGGATCCTTGCGGACCTGAATGCATGCCTGATGGCGGGCACCTGGAGTAGGGTGTGGGCCGAGGTAGACAGCATTCACCTGGGCTAAGACTGTGCTTTTGAGGGCGGCAATAGAAGCCGAAAAAGAAGCCGAAAGAGAAGCCGAGAGAAAAGCCGAGAGAGAAGTAAAGAAGCAGAAGCAGAGATCACCGGAGAGCCCAGAGAGAGTGAGGATTTGCTGGGGGCTGGGAGGACTGCCAGCCTCCCGGCCCCCCAGGACCCCTGCCTGCCGTATGCCTGGTGAACCCCAATAAAAGCCTGCAAAAAACCACTGAGGACTCTAACTCCTCCTTTACCTGGTCTGCTGGATCAGAAAACCTGCACAGTGTCCTGTTCCTGACTCTACACCACCCCTCTTAGCAGCTCCCCTGGAGGGCTGCAGAGCCCTCCCCAGCTTACCCCGCAGTGCCACAAAAGAGCCCATGAGATTTCGGCACAGCCTCAACCAAAACTGCAGATGGGATGCCTTATAACACAATGCAGGCTTTATCTACATTTGTCTCTCACTAGCTTCAAAATGCATGGTTACCTCAACACCCACACTGTGGGTATGGACTCCTCTTGGGAGAATCTGCGACTGCGTACCTGGGGGGAATAGAGAGCCCTGGAAAGCCAGCTCAGAGTCCTTGGGCTCTCCCTTCCGTGATGTTGAGTCTCAGCTGGAGACCAGCCTGGGACATTTGGGCGCAGCCTCTCAGAGAGGCTGTGTGCACGCGTGTGTGGAGGCACGCACACATGTGTGGAGACACACAAACACAAACACACACACACACACAAACACACACACACAACCTGTAGTGCCCTCAGTGCTTCACCTGGTCAAGGAGGGGTCCACCTGCAACTACTCCCTGTTAATGGAGTGGATTGAACGAGACTTGACTCTCCTGTCTGTGGAGTCAGCAGATGTTGCTTCCAGGAAAGACCTGTGCTACCCGACGCAGCTCTGCGGACATGGGAAGAGTGGGGAGACAAGGCCCGAGTCTCAGCAGGGGGTCTGACAGTGTGATCAGGAGATGAGGGACCTAAAGCAGGTGATGGGGAGGCCAGGACAGGAGCTAGAGCCGCTGGGGGATCCTGGGCTGGCTACATGGAGCCCACATTGAATGAAGGTCCCCAGCAAGGAAGATCCCAAAACAGTCAGCTCCACTCCCCCTAGTGTGGGGGAGTCATGAAGCCTGTGAGCAAGCAAACCGGTCAGTCGCTCATCACCCAGATGGTCAAACTCAGAGCCAGGATTTGTCTCTTCACTGAGGAGCTGGTTCAGGGTGGCCACCAAGGCACTCAGTGGGATTAGGAACCTGACACCCAGCTCCCCAAGTGCCAGGTGTCTGTGATTATATAAGGGGGGTCGAGAGGGAGGGGGCGCAGGATGTGAAGTGGGGAGGTGGGCAGAAGGGAGGGGGTTCAGGATGTGAAGTGGGGAGATGCACATTTCCAGGTCCAAGGTTGGGCTGTCCAGGCATCATGGGGATTGGGGTCTGACACTCTCAGCAGGGAGTGTCTCCTCAGGGTCAAGATCAGGCAACAGTCAGGAGTTATTTGTTTTTTATATTCTCATAACCTCCAAGGAGCAAAGAGGTTTTTCTTAGAGGCGTAACAATCAGCTTTATGAGACCCAGGAAATGCCATTGAAAAGAAATGTATTAGTTGCAAGTTGAAGAATAATCACAAGGAGGTAATAGAGGGGAACGAGAACAAAGATTGCTTAAAGTTTAGTTCATTGAGTCCCAGGATTTGCTCTAGAGGTTTCTGTTACAAAATGGAGGTGATCCAGTTACAGCCTGACCTCAATTCACATGGGTCTAAGATTCCACAATCCAATCATCACAGTATTGGACAGAAGGGCCAGGGTGTGCAGGGAGATGGTATCAGAAGTCATTTGTGTAAGGACAATGGCCCTTGATGGATGAAGGGAGAGAATCCATACATAAAGTCCAAGATTTTAGAAAATCACGAGATGGGATGGAGTCCGGATCAAACATATATAGCTTAGAGCCCAGGTTAGCCCTTCACCCTCCAAGTCTGTGACCTTAGCCTGTGACCTTAGGTTCAGAAGACATATTATTCACAACAGTTTTCAGGTCTCAGTTAAAGTGAAGAAAAACAGGTCTCAATTAAAGTGATGCACGAGGGGGAGAGAAAGCAAACTCACCTACCCCTACCAATGTCTTTGTTCATACACAGTGTTCGGCCAGAGCACCCATGTTGGTAATGAGTAATACAGAAAATGAAAAAAAAAAGGGCGGCAGAGATTCCGTGCAGACACACTAGAGGAAAGTGGAGAGAGTGAAATACCCAATTTGAAGAGATCACACGGCCCAACAGGATGTGACAAAAACACGGTACATCATCACTGTTTTGTGGACTAGAGTAATTTTATGAGATATTACTTCACATGGCAACGCTTCAATGATGGGAAGATGAACTAATAGAATTACAGGCGAAGGGAGATTGCAAAGCTGAGGAAACAAGATGGGGCTCAAACAACCCAACCTCTAAACTGAGTAATGATCACTGAGAGCTGAACAAGACCTGTGATGACTCAGAAACACGATGAAAAACAAAGGTGTAGACATGGGACAAGATGAAACAGACATATGGAAGACCCAAAATGAAGAAAAGCAGGTGCGATACGGAGAGAATGGAAACTAGAATACAGAACATAGTCACTTAGGTGAGGATGTTTCTTGAAATGCAAGCACCGGCTCACAGCTCAAAACACATGGTGTCCCAGGAAAAGTCACAGCCCGTGGTTGATGCACAGGCACAGCTTGGGAAAAGTGTGTGATATCAGGGGTGAAGAAAGAACTCTCTAGGCAGGCATTTGCAAAAGGAAATTCATTTGAAGAAGGAAGAACACTTGAGTGACTTGGTCTTTCATAGCACCCATCAGCACCTGGAGCCATTTGAATGTCTGCAATGTCACAAAAGACTGAGGAGGAGAAGGCACTACCTAAGAAAGTCACCTCGCCCCAAGGTGTGCGTCCCTGTAAAGACAAGAGGCAGCGATTCTCTAGGGTGAAGATGCTCAGGGAATGAGCCTCTTGAGAAAATTGATGGGCCACAGAACTCGGTCATCCATTGATGAAATAATACAACGACTGGTGTCAGCACAGGGTCCGCCTGAATAAAGAACGGGCAGGAAACCACGTGGGGACACGGTCACAGTCCTTGGCGATTCACCAATAATAAGGTCTTGGTGAACAGCAGAGAGAACGAGAGGCCAATGGGAGAAGCCCTGGTCCCTCACCTTTGCCAGTGGGGAGGAAATCAACTCTGAGAATGGGGACAGGCAGGAGCAGTGGGGAGGGTGGAGAAGCCGGGGTGAACTCGTGGGGCTCCTCTCCTTACATGGAGGCGCCCGGTGATTGTGCCGAGCCCCTGAGGGACTGGAGGGGCTGCATTAAGCCCCCTGGCTGCTGCGATTCCAGACCCCAGCCTCGGAGGGGACCTGAAGAGAAGGAGACTGGTGGAGGGGCCAGCAGTTATCAGAACCCCTGAGCCCATCCAGGTGAGGAGGGATGAGGCAACAGTTCACCTGAGGAGCAGGTGGGGTTAGGGAGAGGGAGGCGTCCAGGTGGACTTCCTGGTGGCAGCTCAGGTGGGGAGGAGAATTAGAAAAGCGACAAGGAGCCTGGGGGTCACACAAAAGAGGCAAATAGGGACTCCAGAGAGCTGGCGGGATCAGGACGCTGTTCTTTAAGGTGACATTAGTGATTGTGTAAGTGCTCAATGATACACACACATACACATACACATGACACATACACACACGTCTCCACTTCTGTGTTGATGCATGTACATGCAGAGATACATTCATAGCAGGAGTGTATCTGTATCTTTACGTATGTTTACATATATTCATAGACATGAACATATACACACGATACCCGTGTGCACATACACTCATAACATACACTCATCTCATTCCTTTATGTGTATATTTACTTTTTAACACAACTTAAGGGGCAAGTTTTTATTCAAAACAATTTCTGGCTTACAAAATATTTCAAGAATAAAAGAGAATTCTAGTCTATCTTACAGCCTTAGTCCCGTATCTTCAACACCTTCCACATTTCCTGGTCACATAGCTCTTCCTACCGGAATCAATAGACGTGATTTTTTTTTAATATTCATTTATTTCTTTGTGCAAGGAAAATGGGATGTAGACCAGGGGTGTGAAGGGGTGAGAAGATTCACCAGAGACAGATTGGGGAGCAGAACAGGCAGATCTACTGAAATGCACTGCTGAGGGGAGACAGGAGAGCTCTGGGGTGCCATGTGGGTTACCTTCCTGGCCGGGCATCGAACTCAGGCCACAGAGGTGAAAATGCTGAGACTTAACCCCTAGCCTACCAAGGAGACCCCTATAACTGATTTTTTGATGCATTTCAAAGTATGTAATAGATATCAACATAATTCACTGGAACCACTTCACAATTCATAGTCACTAAAACTCAACATCAGTTTACACTGTTTCAAAGTAAAATTTACTTGTAATGAAATGCTCCATTCCTCAGGACACTATGGTGAGTTTTGACCAATGAATTCTGAGCAAGACAGATTTTCCACCACCCCAGAATGTTCCCTCAAGTCCCTGTTGGTCCCACCGTGAAAGGCAGAGAGGGGAGCCCTAACACCCTGAGCCCACAAGGATACCACAGCACAGATGGGTGGGGCTGACCTCCCTGGACTCCTGCACCCCAGGGGTACTCAGGCCTCACTCAGCTGCTGCAGCAGACACAGAGACATATACAGGGCAGACAGGGGCTCCTTGGCTTCCAGATCCCAGGTGGACTGGGGGTCGTTCAGCTCCATCCTCAGCCCACACTCCTGCAGCAGCCCATAGGTGATGGCCACACCCTCATCCTGCAGGGGGGCCAGGAGCTGCGGGTCCAGGGTGAAGGGAATGCACCCGGGACAGTTGAAGTTGGGCTCCAGGATGCTCCGTACCTAGAAGTAATGGCATAGAGGTCATGGGTCAGTCTTTGAGTAGAGAAGAGGAAAACTGTCCCAACACTGAGGAGTAACACAGGGTCATGGAGGAAAGTTCTGGTTATGGGGACAGGACTCCATTCTGGTCCCGTCTTGTGCTCACTGTGATCTTGCACACATGTTACCGGAAATTACTGATCATTGGTTCCTGGGTTGCTAACTGGTGAGACTAACATACTAACACAACAAAGGTATTAGGGATTGTAGGTGTGTGTGTACATGTGTGCAGTGTGTGAATGTATGTATAATCTATACACTCCTATGGACTCATATGTACATACATGCAGTAGAAAGAGCAATTTAAATGGGAACTATGTAAGTCAGTCGAGGGTATTCCTCAGAGCCCTGAGCTCCTAAACCTCTATCCCTGTTTGACTGTTTTAGAACTCTGAGGCCTCTGTAGCGGTTACCATGGAAACTGAGACCCGCACACCCACTGTGACTGCTCTCCAGAAGGACATGAGCAGGATTTCCCAGGGGCCACACTGGGATGGGGTCTCCCCTCCCAGCAGAAACTGCATCATCTCTCTTTCCTAGAGTCTCTCTTCTCTCCTTTTCCCGCCCCCTCCCCCCTGGATGCTGGCCCTGGGGATTTCTCACCAGCTCCCGCTGATGGAGCAGGATCCTCTTCTCCATGGACTGGGCCAGCAGAGCATGTTGGGTGTCACTCAGCACTGGGGACAGAGGGTGTTTGGGAAAAGAGTGAGGAGTCAAATACCCCACAACCGGGTGACCTAGGAAACCCCATGAGGGGGGCCCCCCTGGTGGCCTAGGAGTTAAGTCTCAGGGTTATCACCACCATGGCACAAGTTCCATCCCCAGCCAGGGAGCTGACTCATGTTGCACAGCAGACCTCTCCCGCCTTGCCCGCTGCTCCCCTCAGCAGTGTATTTCAGTCAATCCACCTGTTCTGCTCCCCACTCTGTCTCTGGTGAATCTTCTCAGGCCCCTCCCCACACCTCTGGCCTGCACCCAAGCTCTTGTGTGCATAAATAAATAAAATCTTTTAAAAATATATTTAAAGAAAAAAAACCCAGGAGCAGAACTCCAGGCAGAAGTATAAAACCCACTAAGTTTTTATTTGTGCAAGTTCCTGTCCTCTGAGTCTTCCTTCTGCTTTGGGGATGGTCTCCAAGGTGCTACAGCACATAGTCCAGAGGGTGGGATTCTGAGGCTGGAGGCTGAACCCCCCACCCCAATGAGAAGGGGGATGAACTTGGGCTGGTCTGTCTAGGTTCAAGTTTCATGTTACATGACTAGTTTACCTCATGTAAGGTAAACTAGTGTGAGGATGAAAACCATATTCATCAAAGTGCTTTGGAGAGGGGGCAGCTAACACACTCCATCATGGGTTTCTGGGCACCAACCCTGAGGCTCTCCCACAACCCCTAAAAGCACTCTCACCCATTATGGCTTCAAGCAAGTAAAGGATGAGATTCACTTGGGCAACATGTAGGTACCCTGGGATCCTTCCCAGCTCATCCAGGATGGTGGCACCAGGGCCACTCAAATGACCCAAGGGTTTCTCCTGCTCAAGCTGCAAAAGGCAAGGATGATGATGATGATGAAGATGACACTGTCATATAATTTTGCCTAAAAGTTATGATCTATAAGTTATTAACCAAAAATTGGGTTAATGTCTTTCTCTAACCCCCAAGGGATACCAAGAACCTGCACTATGTGGGCAGCATAACCCTGGCCTCTCATTCCCCTACAATTACTCACAGTCTCCTTCCCCCTGTCTCCTTCTGGGCAGCCATATCTCCTGAACACACACCATTTGCAGGTTTGATCAACCCCAGACAGCTGTGGGGTCCCCTCACCGTGTCCATGAGGTCCTGCAGAGCCTGTCGGTCCCCCAGCATAGCTTGGATATTAACAAATATGACGCCCTGAATGTTCCTTGACAGCAAAGCCACCATCCTCACTCTGCTGGAAACCTCTTCTGTCATGCACTCGAAATCTGTCATCCAGGACATGGAAATAACTCATAGGTTAGAACATTCCTGGGACAATCCTGTCCCCATTGACGTGAGCAAATCTCATCTGTTTTCAAGCTGCTAACAAAAAGCATCTCTGTGGGTGATGTGTTTGAGCTCCAGGGGTGGAGGTGACAAAATAGGCTAGAAAGATGAGGATACAGCTGAAATGAGGGGGCAGACACTGGGAGCAGAGATGGAGAATCTTAAAGGTGTCTTGGGATATTCAAGAAATGTGCAGGGACTTCCTTATGGGATTTTTCTGGAATGATGAGGATTCCAGCCTTGGGCTGTAGAGATGAGAGTCTTCCCTGCTCTGGACTCAGTTTCCACATCTAAAATGAGGCTGTGGCGCCTCCCTGGTGGTGGAAGGGGTTAAACACAGCACTGTGATGCTCTCCACAGCCTCTGCAGCAGTAGTTTCATCCCTGGCCGGCCCGGGAGCTCCCACATGGCAGAGCAGACCTCTCCTGACTCGCCTGCTGCTCCCCTCAGCAGTGTATTTCAGTAGATCCGCCTGTTCTGCTCCTCACTCTCTCTGGTGAATCCAGTCACCCCACACACACACTTCTGGCCTCTACCCCAGTTCCTACACGCATAAATAAATAAATCTTTAAAAAGTTAAAATAACTAAATAAAATGAGGCTGTGGTGACAATCACCGGGGTGTCAAGTATGTGAAGCACATGCAGCAGCACCAGGCACACACTTGTCTTGAAACCACCTACAGATCACACTTGTGTCTGTGTCTTCTGAGTCTAGAAGGAATAACCTCTCCCAGAGCACCTGAGGGTCCCAACCCACAAGACCCTGGTGCCCAGATCAGTGCCTGTTTCCGACACAGCCTCATCAGGGTGGCGGGACTGAGTGTGGATGAGGGAGGGTGGATGAACAGATGAGGGCTGTGACAATGTGTACATGGAGCAGAATTTGGTTGTCCGAGTGGCAGGGAAGCTGCAGGGGTGTCAGCCTGTCAGTTTCCCCCCAGAACCCCAGGTTCCCTCTTAATAAACACTCACTTGACATGACAGTTACCTCTAATCTTCCTAGAAAGAGAATCACAAGCCATCATGTCTTTCCTCATCCTCAAATTTACTTTTGAGACACTGTGGAGGGTTTGCTCTCCCTCCAACCCCGCCTCCCTCCTGCTGCACCACTTCCTGCCCCATTAGGCCCACCCTCCCACCCTCAGCCCCCAGGAGCCCCCTGGACAGAGTGCTGGGCCAGGCCCAGGGCAGCGGTGCAAAGGCAGGGGCAACTGCCGGGCTCAGGTGATTGTGACAAGAAGGATTCCTCCCCCAAGCCCACCACACACTCACCCATCATGGAGCAGGGACCGTGAGGATCATACTTCATTTCTGGAAGAGAAATTAAATTCCCAGCTCAAGAATTAGTTCAAAGAGACTAGGTTTTTCTGCTCTTCTGCCCCTGCTTCCCCACCCCCTCCTCTCTACCTGCTGCTGCCCATCACCCAGGAGACCAGGTCCCAGAGCCCTGGGAAGGAGGCCACTGCAAGCATGTGGGGGTTCTGTTGTGCAGAGTTGAGTCCTGGGGGATCAGATCCCACTCTCCTGGCACAAAAACAACTAACCCCACCCCTCTGGCCTGTACCCCAGTTCTTGTATGCATAAATAAATAAAATCTTTTTAAAAATCACTTACCTATTGACCGACTACTAGACCTCGCTGGAAAGATAAAAAAGAAGGGGTCACTCACCAAGAGTTAGTGACAGAAACACACACACACACTCGCACACACACAAGTGATATCCCACTGTTACATGGAAATAGCTGTTGTTTATGTGTTTTCCAGGGTCCTGCTAGTGAAAATAAGGGAGCTGGCAGGCTGTACAGAAGGGGCTAGATTACTGTGGGGAGAGGACTGAGCCCCTGAGGCTCTGGTGAGCACCCTAATTATCTCTGGGCTCACAGGGTCAAGGTCAGGTCAAACATGCCCAACTGGGAACTCACCTTCTTCTGGAAAACTTTTCCCCATATCATATGGGTCATCAAGAACATCTGAAAGAGAATGATCCAGGTCAGGAGAGCCAGGTCACCCTGCTGGAGGCTTCCCCACCCCCACCCACAGCCCAGCCCTGCTCCTGCAGGCAGTGTGGCAGCTCTTCTCAGGGGGACCTGGGGACCCTGGATCAGAGGCAGTGGGGTGCTTGTGACAACTCAGAGCCCAGGACCTCTCTCTGGACCTTCTGGGTCTGACGCCAAGAAGATCCGGGGCTCTGCACCCATGGGTACCACACGCTCCACCAGAGACCTGCCTGTGGCGGGGAGGTCTGCTCCCCCAACCCCTGCAGGGCTGCCCCCTCTGCCAGGTCCCTCTGTCCTGAGTCTCCTCCCCATGTCCTCCCCCACCCTGCCAGCTTCCCATGTGGTTTCAAGACCCACATATAGAAATGTCCAGGGGCTGAGACTTGCCTCCACCAGAGTAGGTGATCACAAAGGACGGACCCCACGAAGGAGACAGAGTGGAGACAGCCCAGGAAAGGAGCCCCAGAGATCAGTGTCCAGCATCCAGGCAGAGGAGCGTACAAGCAGGCCCTGCCAAGACGAGATCTCCGGGGTGAACTGCAGCGGGTGGAGGCAGCGAGGCCGGGAGGGGAGGACACAGAGTGTGGAGATTCTTTACTGGCTTGGCTGTGAGGGGAAGTGGCTGGCAGGAGGAGGGGGTAACTGCAGGGCCCTTGGGGCTGTGAGAAAGCAGAGCCCTGAGGCCCTGATCAGGTCCTGGGGAGGATGCAGGAGGCTGGGGGTGGAGACTGCTCTGTGCCAGACACTCCTCTCTAGCTCCCCCCACTCTGCAGAGCAGGTCTCATTCCGAGTTACAGAGAAGACGGCCCCAGAGAGTCTGATGTTCTCCACAGTCACACAGCGAATATTTGCAAATTACTGAACTGGCTGCACTTTATTTTCCTCTCTGATTTCTTGTAGGGATGAAATCAGATCCGTGAGCCGGTGTCCGCCTCCCCTGCACATGGTAAAGGCTCCTTCCCTTGCTCATCAGCATGAAGCTCTGTAACAGCAGCTGGCCCCGCCCCCTCGTGGGCTGTCCCTGCCACAGCACTGCTGTGGGGGCCTTTAGATTCTCTCAGCTCACTTCTGCACACTTGCAAAACATGCTGCATAATTGTACTTCTTCCTCCTCCCTCCCTGACGACGTGGCACTTTGTCATACGCCATGACCATAAAGCACAATCATCTCCCGCTGCCTCTGCAGGGGTCTCTGACCTCCCCTAAACTGGGGACACCACCCTCCTCTCTAGCCCTCAGGAGGGCCTTGCTCTGGGAGGGATGGACTTTCTCCAGAAGCAAAAGACACTGACCCTGCAAGACCGGACAGTTCAGCCCCTTTCTATCCAATGTCACTGATGGTGGGTAATTGACAGCAGGACCTGACCCAGACCAGACGTTGCAATCAGGATTCTCTAGAGGGGAGTGGGGGGCAGTGGGGGGAGGGCATCCCCTCATCTCCGAGGAATCTGCCCCCAGCTGCATCAGGCTGACCTGAAGACGGGACCTACATGAGGGAATGGAGAGTCCAAGCAATGTGAGCTGGTGGGTTTGCAGCCTTCACGTCACCCAGTTTACACACTTGCTCTTTGATGAAAACGGTTCACACATGTGGTGTCAGAGCCCAAGTGAGTGTGCTGGGGACTGTCGATTCAGGCTAATGAAGGAGGAAGAGATTGCAGTAAAATCCTGCCTGGTGGTTGTGGCTGTAGTCTACAATGTCCGTGATTGTGCTGGTGTCTTGCAGGCTTTCACTTGGGGGCTGTGGGTAACCCCATAGAGGGAGGATCCTGGGGCTCCCCAGTGAGCTGCTAAGAAAAAGGCCCTTGAGGGAACAGAGATGGTCTGCACAAGGGCCACGTTTGCCCAGTGCTAATGAGAACCCCATGGTGAGGACCCGTTTTTCATTCTTCACAATGTCTCAGTCTCCCTGCAACAACAGTTCATCAGGCCATCCTTGAAGGGAGCCTGATGTGTGTGCTCCAGACAGTTGGTAAAGGGTGCTGACAGGCCGCGAAGTCAGGTTTCATGTGGACGTTCTTTTCCTCTCATTTTTCTTTCCAGCAGAAACACACCCCACCCCTCGGAACATGTACATCCCTCAACCTCTACTTACCCCAACTATCATCCTCTAAAACAAGCAGCTTCTTCTTATAGGCCATCACCATGCCCTTCTGTAGACTCAGCTCCAATCCTCTTCCTGTGTCAAACTTTCCTTCTGCTTTAACCTGGGGGCAGAAGCCAGGAACATGGTCAAATATTCCATAGTGGAATATTACTCAGCAATGAAAAGGATGAAGTCATGCAATTTTCAGCAACATGGATGGAGCTGGAAGTTATCATGCTCAGCGAAATGAGCCAGAAAGAAAAAGAAAAATATCGGATGGTCTCACTCATAGCAGGAATCTAGAAAACCTAAATAAGGGACCAGGAAAAAGAACAAGCAAAAGAAAGAAAAAAATCAAAATCAACAAGCAACTGAAAACCAGAGACACACTATGGGAGTGGTGGGAAGAGGAGGGATTGGGGTCAAAATAAGGGGGGTACAATTATAAGGGGAATATAAAAAACTGAAAAAAAAGAAATGAGTGTAAAAACAAAAAGGCAATGTACTGACTGGGAGGAGATATTTGACATCATACATCCACAAAATGTTCATTTCCAAAATATATAAAGAACTCAGACAACTCAACAACAAAAAACATAATAAAAAAATGAGCAGATGCTTTGAATGGATAATTCTTTAAAGAAGACACACAGATGGTCATCAGGCACATGAAAAAATGGTTACTTTCATCTATTATGGGAGAAATGTGAATCAAACATGAATCAAAACCATAATGAGATATCATCTCACACCTGAGAGAAAAGCTTGTATCAAAAACAATGGAAACATCAAATGTTGGCAAGGGGCAGAAAAAAAGGGAAACTTAGACAGTGTTGGTGGGAATGTAAATTGGTGCAGCCTCTATTGAAAATGGTATGGAAATTCACTAAAGAAAAAAGAAAGAAAGAAACCCCAGAAGGACCAGAAATACCACACCTAGCCACTTATCCAAAGCATATGAAAGCACTAATATGAAAATTTTTGTGCACCCCTACGTTCACAGCAGCATTACTAATAATGATGAAGACATGGAAACCACCTAAATGCCCATCACTGGATGAGTGGAATAAGAAGTTGTAATATACACACTCAAAGGAATACTGCTCAGTTCTTAAAAGATGAAAACTTGTGTTTTATTGCAACATGGGTGCAACTCAAGGTGATTGTCCTAAGCAAGTCAGTCATAAAGGAAAAAACAATTACCAAATAGTTTTTCTCATATAAAGGATAGAAACAACCAAAGCAAATATAACAATACACAATTAAAAATAACTTAAAAATATGGTGGGTATGGAGGATCATGGGTGGAGGACATAGGAGGAAAAGGTAGAGGAGGTCAATTGGATAGTGGGATGGCACTAGAACATTGGTGGTGGGTGCTGTGGGGCATCTACCCACATTGAAATAAGAGATCCTCCTGGAATTGATAAATTTGTAAACCAATGGTAAATCAAGAATTTTTTTTTTAATGATGTGGGTGAAGTTTCTTCATACTCCTCCAGGGAAAAATCACTGAACTTGGGAAAGCAGTTCACAACTTGGGGTTTTATTTCTTTGCTTTCTAAATCTGGTAAGTGTGCATAAATTACCCAAAAATCAGACAGCCTGCAAAATAACATTATAAAGCAAAAATTATTTGATTAATAATATTATGTCAAAGTATTATAATAGGTCATTGGGAATCACTATGTATGTTAGTGTGCTTGAATATAGAAATCATATTCGTTAAGTCTTTTCAATCAGGATATCACACCACATACAAACTTTAACCGCTGCGGTTTGGAGACGGTGGGCCTCATTTCTTCCAGCATGAAAGTGAACATGGGTACAGTGGAGCAACCCCACCTTTAGATTCACCAGGATCCAGCACTCTCCAAACGTAAAACATAACATACCACTATCAGATCTACTTCCTACTGGTCATCACTGAATGGTCCCACCCGGAGAAGCGCCAAGCATGAGGCTGTTAGGACGCGGTCTCCAGCCGGGAGTCAGGCCCTGCACATGGTGGGTGGAAACAGTCACCTGCACCTTCTAACCCCCAGAGAGGCAGAGGCTGAGCAGGCTCAGGCCCTGGGGAGCGAGGCTGGGCTGGCTGTGCTCACGGAGCTCCCGCCCCGTACCTTGATAGAATTCCAAAGGGAGGAGACACCTCCAGAAGCACTCCCACTGCTGATGTCTCGCAGCACAGGGCTGTTGAGCAACTCCACGATCATGGTCACCACATAGAGGTTCCTCCTTGATCTCCAGTATTGTTTCATGTAGCTGGGCTGTGGGTCCAACAGTTTCCTGGAGACATAAGGGAGGAGGAGGAGGATCAGAGAGAAAGCGATGCCTCCTCACATGACACTGGATTGGGCTCCTCTTCAAGACCTGGGCGAGTGCAGACTTTACATTGTCACAAGTGAGCCCACAATGGGCAGGACAACATTGGCTTATGGCTTCCAGCCACCTGGGAACACACAACAGCCTCTGACATGCACAGCCAGAGGAGAGACCCCTGTTCTCTGGTGGGGTAAAGGACACAGGTTGGTCTCATCACACTGTCAGAGACATCTGCATGTTCCCGAGTTAGAGGGTCTGGTTGGGGGCAGGTTATAGATCCCAGCACGGGGCCTCTCTCCAGAGAGGCTGGAGCAGCCGGGCCCTGGGGCTGAGAACAGTCCTCAGGGGTGTGACCGCCACGCCGGGAGCCACGCAGCACCATCAGGGGGCACGTGGAGCTGCCTCAGTAGGCACCAGGAAGCAGGGGTGCTGGTGATTGTCGTGGCCAGCGCAGGAGGGTGTCATGGAGTAATGTCCTTGCAGGTGGGCTCCCTCACTTGACTGAAGACAGAGCTTTGGAGGGAGGTGGGAATGAGAGGTTTGAAGTCCCGGAGACACATTTCATTTCCATTCTGATGTGAGAGTCAGCCCTGAGTCTATCCAAGCTCCCACGGGACTGGGGTCCAGGTAATGGCCGTGTAGACATCTCATAACTTAATTTGCTGTCAGTGGGGGAGTGTAATGGCAGGAATGGCCACAGGGTAGGGAGCTGGATCTCATGACCCAAGCAGATGGGGTGAAGGAGGAGAGAGAGTCCTGTAGCCCTTGGTGGCTTTTTAGGTTTTATTTATGTTTTACCAGGTACACGGCTGGCAAGGGGTGACTCCCAGCCCCCAGCAAGACTTCACTCATTCTGGGCTCTCCAGCATAATCTGGTGGTCTCCGCTTCTCTCCTCTCCCATTCATTCTCTACTCTGCTACTGCTGGCGGCCCCGTGACGCCGCCCTTAAAAGCCCAGTCTCAGCCCAGTCAAATCCCATCTACCTAGGCCCACACCCTATTCCAGGTGCCCGCCATCAGGCATGCATTCGGGACCACAGGGATCCATCATCTATCCTAATGGGAGGGCAGGAAAGTCTGATGCTTTTACCTTACCCTACGGGGAGGCCACTGAGCATCCAGGCTCGGATCTCCCGTGGTCCTTTCAGCGACAGTCAAGCCCATTAGAGAGTCTCTAGGTGCTCCATCTTCTGACATCTCCTTCCTTCTAAGGCTTATTTTAAGTCACCTTCCTCCAGGTTGATCAGGCTGTCACCACTGCCTCCCCACTAACCCTGAGGCCTCCCATCTGTGCCCTGCAGCAAGACAATCCTTCATCTGGGCCACTTCCCTCTGCTTTTCTTGCTTCTTTCCTTAGCACTGAACTCAACTGAGACCTAAACAGAATCTCTTCCAGCACCTATTCTTCCACCAGTTTCTGCTATTGTTGCAGAGCAACCCTGATATAAAATGGGTTACTTGACTGTGGATCCTCACCCACACGGTTAAAGGGGACGTATTCATGCTACACTGCAGACACACACAAAAGGTTGATCAAAGGTTTGTTTATAAGGGAAGGGGAATGGGAAATGAATAACTCAGGAAGAAAAAGAGGAAGATAAATTTGTAAATGCTTCCTACCCATTCCACGGACCTGGAATCCCAATGACCCACATAGCTGGTGAAAAACCAAGCACAGCATGTGGCCAAGAGGATGACCCAGCCACATGGCCAATTAAATACTCAAACCAAGAGCCTAGTTGCTTAACTCCGCCCTCAGGTCCTCACTACCCTCCCTCTGGTGATCATGGGATTTGTAGTTCCCAGTGTCGTGGGGGCGGAGTCCACAAAGCCTGCATGGAGTTTGCTCAGGACATCCTGTCCCCCTAACACCATGACTTCAGGTTTGGGATCCTCTTTATCAAGATAATGGGAGGGAAGTGTATGGGGAAGTAGGAACCCTCATTCTTCCAGTGAATGATCACCTGCTGGATGGAGGGTTGATGAATGGAGCTGGGAATCCATTACCACTGATTCTCTCGCATCATCAAACCAAGTTCCACTAATAACCCAGAGCCTGATTCCCAGACCCCTGCTCAAAATTGAGGGATACACTAGTAGCAGCAGATTTCTCTCCAGCCTCAGGGGAGCTCTCCCTGAAGGGCAGGGCTATCATGCTCTGCCACTTCTCGTGCTAGGGCCAGAACAAGGCTCTGGGGCTGATCAGGGCTCAACCAGTAGGCAAAGTGTTATTTCACACTAACTGAGGAGCTTCCCTGTAAGACTCAGGGGGAACCAAAGCCTCCAACCTTCCCTGGTGTGTTCATCCTCCAGGAATGGCAGCTGCTGTGTCCAGGCCCCCCTCACCTCTCACGATTCCACAACCTTAGGGAGTAAGAAAGCACCCCTCAGGGAGAAAGACAACACGGTCATCAGCATGTTAGTGATGGTTAGTGAGATTCACAGCTGGGTGGTTGTGGTTTTCTTTTTTCAGTTGTGCCTGAAGGACAGACTTGCCAGCAGAGACCTAATTTATCATGTATATTCACGAAAATCAGATTAAACTAGATTTATCACTTAATAATTCTTTGTATGGACAGAAATGCTATTTAACTAGATGTCTCTGTCTCTAAAATTAATATAAGTATTTAAAGGTTTCCTTTGTAAGATCAATTTGTGTGTTACCACATTCACAGAGTTAAATTCCGTGTCTGCACACTGTTGTGCACTTTATTTAAACAAAGAAGTTAAAGTCTTTGTTCACTTGATTAAATATTTTGCTAATATGCTTTTCAATGTTTATTTTCTCACTCACTATAAAGTCCTTGATGTCACTAAATGTAATATGGTTTAGGACCCAGATTTTCACCTGGATAAGTACTAACTGGTTTTCACATTTTCACATTGGGTAAATACTAACTGTTAGGTTAATGAATGAATGAATGAATATTTTTTTAAAAAAGCAGCACGGGATGCTAATTTCTTCATTCTCAGTCTCAACAACAAATCCTGCTAGATGCCTATTTACCGAACAGCGGAGCACACCCCAGGGCTCTGCAGACCCATCCCCTTCGACTCCCATGGACTCACCTCTTTCTGAGGTCTTCTAATTTCGATTCTAAGATTTCAACAAACTGATACTGGAAGGAGGATTCTTGGAACTGAGAAGCTTCAACCCCAGCCTTTGCCTCTGCCACAGCATCCACAGCCACTTCAATCTTCATTCCCCTGAGCCTAGTGTCGCTGAAGTGCAATGGTCCTTCCACATTCGACTCTAGAGGGGAAAATGTGGGCTTAGGTTGAGTCAAAAATTAACTCCATAGCAAATGGAAAACTGAACAGGAATGGGATTTCCCTGTCCATTCAATGTATCCTCTGAGCAGTTAATGATTAAATTAATGATTAAGTGTAAACTATCACTGAGAGGAAGTGTTTGATCCAACCAAGTGTCCTGTAACAGCAAGAATGACATGATGTTAATCACTGGGGATGTGACCTGGGCCCTGGTCCAGGAGACACGCAGCATCACCCTCCCAGCCCATCACTCCTCTGCAACGGGAGCAGCACCAGCCCCAGAGGCCACACACTGTGAAGAACGTGGTTAGTATTTGAAGCCAGCACGACCTGAGTAAGAACGCTAGTTCCACTGACTCCCAGGCATGGAACTGGAGCAAATAGTTTTACAAACTTTAATTCGCTGTTATGAAAAATGGGAATACTATTCCTAGCTCAAGAGGCTGTGGTAATTATGAAATGAATGATTGTATGACTTGCTTAATAATTAGGAACTTCTCAAGCAATCAGAACTCCAAGTCCTTTGCCTGTAGGCAAGGCTGATGCTGGGATCAAACCTTGAAGGTGGCTCATAATTGCTGGGAAGTTGTACCACCTCTATCTTACAACAGTGATTTTCAACCTTGCCTACTATGCCTGTGATTAATACCTGGTAGTGAAGAACTTGGTTCCAGAATATCCAAGAGGGAGAAATCAAGTGGCCTGTATCTTTTCTTCAGAAAATTTGAGAAACGCTTCTCTTCCTGGAATAAGGAATACAATTTCACACCGGTGGCATGTTTCACACTTGTGATATGCTCCGTTTCTTTGTCTCCAACTTCTTTTGCCATAATCTTGCTAAAATTCTGAAAACTGGGCATGTTCTAGGAGCAGATAGAAGAGGATTACAAAAATCATTTGGTGCTTACAGATGAGATAAAATAGGTATTTCTGTGTCATTTGAGAGAGTGACAATGACTTCCATACTAAATGGAGAGATGGGTCTTTGGAGATCAAGTGGATGCATATGCAAAGGATTCCATGGTAGTAGTTATAAGGGGCCCTAAATTTCACTTCAGACAACATCAAGGATTCACCGGAGTCCCTGATGCACTGGGCACAAATGTTCACACACTAGCACCTCCCATCAAATGACTGCCACAGCTCAGCCTCACAGGGACTGGCTCTTATTCAGAGAGCATCAGCAACCCCTAGGTGAGAATCCCTTATTCTAGGCTGAGTTGCCAGCTCTTAGGGAGAGGACAGAGGCCTTAGTAACAAACTTGTGAGACCTAATTACTCACCACAGACCCCCAGCTGCAGAAAGAAGTGCATCTCTCTCTGCGCTCAGCTCATAGGGTCTCCTATATCAGGGATTTCAGCAACCCTCTGCCTGCCTGGTCACAGCAACAGGTCCTGAACCACCATCCTGACTGAACCGAGGTTCCAGAAACCCAGTATATTAACCCAGCCCCTGCCAGGCCTCCCAGCCATCAGAACAAACCAAACATGCTCTGCAGGAGGCTCCAGCAGCACCCCAGTCCTACAGGTCCCTGTAGCTGTGTCACCATAAATGAAACACTCAGAACGTGCAGGAAAAGGAATCACACACAAAAGAGGTCCAATATGACAGAGCAAACCCAAAGCAAACAATGGGGAGAAGGATAAATACAAATGGCCCTGGAGCCTTAAGGGGAGCAGCACACCATGAGGGAAAATCAAATCCAGAACCCAATGACCCCGAAACAGAAGACCTCTTCTTCTGTCAGGTGAAGAATTTTAAATTGCCATGGTTAAGAAAGTCAAAGAACTCAAACAACACAATCAAAACTAAGAAAAAATCAGGTCTATAAGAAGATGAGGAATAGAAAAAGAATACTATGAGAAATATAATCAACAAACAGGAGATAGATTGAAACTTTAAATATGAAAATAAAGGAAATGTAAAAAATTCTTGCAAACGCCTTGGAAATTAATAGATGATAAAGAATAATGATCACATAAAAAAGGAAGAAGAGGTAGGAGAGATATAAAGGACAAAGAATAAAGAAACACTTTAAGAATTATCTCACAGAGTGAGGAAAGGATATATGAGAGACATAGAAATCTCAAAAGGAGAAGAAAAGACAGTGGCACTTGGAAACTCTTCAAGGAAATAATGGAACAAAACATTCCAAACTTGAAGAAGGAAGTGAAAATAGACATACAGGAAGCTATCAGGATGAAAGGACAGGATCTGCACTACCACTGTGATGTCCTGAGTTCGATCCCTGGCCAGGGAGCTCACCCACATGGCGCTACACCCCAGGTGTTCTAAGCAAAAATAAATTTAAAAATCATTCAAGAAAGAAAAAACAGAAACACTATGGAAGAAAAGATTGAGTGACATATTCAAAAACTCCAAGACAAAAAAAGTGAGTCAAAAATACTGAACCTGCAAAGCTGTCTTTCCTAGATGAGGAAAACATAAGGGTCTTCTCAGACAAACAAAATCTTCATAAATTTGCTACTATTAAACCCCAATTGCTAGAAATACTACAAGGAGCCTTAGACTCAAAACCAACACGGAATGAACATGAGGAACTGGACAGTCTTGAGTACAACCACAAAATGAGGAACAAAATGGCAGAATAGACTTCCACATCAACAATCACCCTAAAAATGATTGGATGAAACTCACCAATAAAAAGACCCAGAGTAGCATGTTGGATTAGAAAACAGAACCCAAGCTTCTGCCGGCCCCAGAAAACAACCCTAAGTCACAAAGATAAACATTGATTAAAAGGAAATGGCTAGACAACAATTCTACAAGCAAACGGACCCCAAAACAAGACAGGGACAGCCATAGTTACATCAGGTAAAATAGACTTAATACTGAAAAAGGAGATAAGAGACACTGATGGACATGATATATTGATCAAAGGGACACATCAATACATACTCACCAAATGACGGAGCACCAACATACACTAGATAATTATGTTGCAATCTGAAAACAGATTTGGAAAAATACATAGGTGGCAGGAGACATCAACACCCCCCTCTCAAAAATGGGCAGATCAACAAGATAACAAATAAACAAGGACACAATCATCTTAAATAAAGCTCTAGACCACATGGGCCTAATGTACATCTGGAGAACACTTGACCCAGAAAATAAAAATACACATTTTTCTCAAGTGCACACAGACATTCTCCAGGATAGACCATGGAAGACAAATATCAACAAATACATGAAGACTGAAATCATACCAACTAAGTTCTTTGACCATAAAGGCATCAAGCTAGAAGGCAACTAGGAAAGAAAGCAAAAACCACCCCCAAACCTGAGGCTGAACAACACAATACTGAAAGGCCACTAGATCAAAGAGGAAATCAAAGAATCAATTTAAAATTACTTTGACAAAAAAAGGCGATGAGGTAACAGCTTTCCAGAATATATGGGACATAGCAAAAGCAGTAGTAAGAGGAAAGAATATAGCAAAACAGACCCACATCAAGAAACAAGAAAGAAACAACAACCTAATTTCTCATCTCTAAGAACTAGAAAAAAAATAACAAAAGACCCAAAGTCAATGGAAGGAAGGAAATGAATGTTAAAGCAAAATAAAAGAAATTTAAAAAAAGACAATGGAAAAAATAATGAAACCAAGAGATGATTGGTTGAAAAAATAAACCATAATGGACAAACCTCCAGCTGGGCTCACAGAGGAAAAAGAGGGAGATGATCAGATAAATGTGATCAAAAATGAAAGAGGAGAAATTACAACAGACACAGCATCAACCCAGAGGAGAATGAGAGATGACCATGAGTAATTATATGCAAACAAATGCAGCAAACCAGATGAGATGGACACATTGTTAGAACAATAACAATCACCCAAGGCTAAATAAACAAGAGACAGAAAACTTGCACAAACCCATTACAAGCAGCAAAACTGAGTCATACACTGTTGCTCTGGCAGAAATAGGACAATTCTGTAGTTCATGGCGATGGGCATGAGGTGTTCACATTTAAAAGTCCAGAAGCCTCTGTGTTATGCTACGAGGATCAGGATTTACCACACCACCATCAAGTGAACAACTTCTCTACCATCAGGGCTCTGCAGAAGTGGTCGTCAGCCTGCTAGGGGCTGTCCCTCTGCTCAGGCAATTTCAGTCTCACAGACTGATGTCAGCAAATGGCAGAGCAGGAGCACTCGGCCCACAGCCCTCCCAGAAACACCCGTTTCAACAACCACCTTTAGGCAAGAGAACGCTGGATGTGATCTCACAAACAAGGCAACAAAGGGGAGAAGACAAGCAGGTGCATAAAACAGCTTTTGCACAGCAGTGGAAATCATGACAGAGGGCAGACACTCAGCACAAGGGCTGGAAATATTACAAACCACCCACTGAGAGGGCGTAGTATCCAAAATAAATAAAGAAGAAAACAAGGAGGGAAAAAAGTCCAATATGCCAATTTGTTGCTGGGCAAAGGACTTGAATGGAAAATTCTCCAAACAAGACATAAATACACACAGCAGGTGTCTGGACACTTGCTCACACCACAAGCCATGAGGGGGATGCAAATCAAAGTCCCCACATCCATCTCCTCACGCGGTGCAGTGTCTATTATCAAGAACAAAAAGCTACCAGGGGCAGGGAGGCTGTGGCAGGAGGGACTCGGGGCATGGCTGGGATGTCAGCAGGTTTGCTGTGACAGGGAGCACAGTGGCTTGGACTCCAGGAGCAGAACAGTAGCAAAAGATTCTGTAGACCTGACCTGGGCAAAGATGCCCCAACACACTTCCTGTAGCCTAAGGGCTCACCTGCAGTTACCAGGACACCCCCTCATTAAAGAGAACTTTAGGGAGAAAAGTTTTTGGGTACAATGATGACAAAACAAGCTTCTGTTCCTTTCACAAACCCAGCCTGAGCATTTCTATCTTCTCACTCACCTCCTTGTCCCTGGTTCTAACTCACCAGATATATGGTGTTTTGTCCTGAAGAGATTCCAAT